GCCGAGCAGCTTTCATCAGCCCTAAGCCGGTGCTTGGAAACCTGAGCTGGTGGCAGCCACTTGTTCATTTGATTCCTTCACTCTCGAAAAAGCCACTAGCCATCTATTTTTAAATGAAGTAAAACTAATTTCATTTTGAGAATTCTTTGGAACATTTCATGACATTTGTTGAGATAATTGGGGACATCCTGGAGTGTCACAAAACCAAGGTTGGGAATCAGTGTTCTGAGGACTGAAGAAGCAAATTAATTTTTCTTTCTGGTTTTCTTCAGATAGTTTTATGTATGAAAACTCAACTTTCTAAGGCTTTCATTATGTGTTTTGACTTTCTTTTCCTTATTATCCTTTCTCTCCTTCTTTATTTACTGTGTGTAGACTGCTGCAGAGCTCATTAATGTATCTCTTAACCTAATTAGCTTTCTTCCAATGAAACAATGCCCCTGGTTCCAGGAATGTGCAGGTTTTTAGAGCCAGGAAGAAGGCTGTGGCCTTCTGAACCGTTCCGCTGTCAGGCTGAGCAAAGGTGACTCATGAAACACTTGTCAAGGTACAGGAAAAAACAGCTCAGCACGACAGTGCCCTGTCTTAATAATAGGAAAAATACATTTTCAAAGAGGTGTGCTAGGTTTCTTTTGAAGACTCTGCTCTTGGTTTTCAAGGTATCTGACCTAACCTGATTGAATTCTGGAATAAGCAGAGCTTTGAAGAGGGCACCTGCGTGCTGTCATCGTGATGTGTTTATAGGCAAAGCCAAAACAGTTCCCAGGGAAAATTAAATATAAATGTCCAATTCAGGGTGGCCCATTTAAAACTCAAGTCTCATAAAAATTTAGGCACGACTGCCACGTGACCTTTTAAATCTGTCATCTATCTGTTCACCTGTCAATGGCTATTTCTTTGTTTACTTACAGGCTTCTCAATGACTTCCTGCGCTGTATTTCACATTCACTTAACATTCAGCCAAACATTCATTCATTCACTCACGCCATTAGCACTGAATAGGCACCACTGCAAATACAACACTTTCACAAAATCCTTTTCCACTAGCCAGCTCTGTTCCTTTAGAGAAGTCATTAACTCCTCTGAGTTTCAGTTTCCTCATCTGTTGAAATATGAAATTGGACCGGGTCTCTTCCAGAAATTTTATTCTGTAATTTCTAAACAAACCCCCAATTCATGACATGGACATTTATATCAATATATTATTCATTCAAGTTGGGAAACAAATATAATGCTTGACAGCTCTTCCTAAACAACTCTCCCTAATAACTGTGCTTTTATTAACTGGCAACACAACCAACTCCCCTAATGCAGGTCTGATCAGGAAAATTTTGCCAGTGAAGGGGTCTACGTGTCTCAGGAGCCCACAGAGTTGATCTTCAGTTTGTTTTAGTTTTATTTGCTTATTGTTTTCAGATCCCTGGTATTGAGCTCACTGTTTAGAAGTAGAGCATTCAAGACTTGATACTTAATAATTCTATCACCTCAGTAATAGTCAGAACCAGACTGGCAGCCAGACTAGAAACATTGTGGCAGAGTCAGCTACTTATCCCCAGGGTCCACTCTCTTGCTTTTCCCTTTAGTAACAGAGGACCTGAGTTTCCGATAAGCACTCGACTGCCAACTAGAGTCTGCATTTCCCAGACTCCTTTGCAACTAAGTATGCCCCTGCGGCTGCATGTGAGCCAACGGTGGGATGAGAGCTGAAGCGATGTGTGCCACTCTGGGTCATCTCCTCAAAGATGAACCTGTTTACCATGCATTTTCCTTTTCATCCTCTCTTCTGCCTGGGAAGTGGCGAAAGCTCGAACAACCTTGGAAACAGGTATTGAGGATGCCAGAGCTGCCCACCGGGCATGAACCACTGTCCTCTGGGCTGTTAGGAGAGAGGGATAAACGAACTTCTATCTTATTTATGCCATTGTTCATTACGGACACGTACTTGGGTAGAGCAGCTCAACCTATACCCTAACACACCCTTAGGTCTGGACTCAACGAAAGAAAACAGCTTTAGAAGAAGATAAATATTTTAAAAATAGCACTTAGGAAGGTAAAGGAATGATAGGTTATACTGCCTTTCAAGAATTTTCCTAAGAGAGGAGGGTGTCAGAAAAATTGGGAAAAAATGATAAGCCCCGTTTAAGGATCCCTTTAAAGTCAGGGGCGGCTCTTAGGCCAGTTGAACCTTACAATGCAAAGAAGACTCCTGGATGTCAGAGGCAAAAAACTGTGATCACACAATTTATTTTGTTTTCTTTTTGTTATTGTATTCTTATGCCAAGACAGTAAACAGAGGCTTTGCAGCCAGGCAAATCTGAGTTCAAATTGTAGTTTCACCACTGACTAGCTATGACATTGGGCAAGTCGCTAAATCACCAAGCCTCAGTTTCCTCATCTACAAAAGGGGAATCATAATAGATGCTTCTTCACAGAGTTGTTGCAAAAATCAAAATGATATATAAGCTCAAGTGGTGCCTGGAACATAGTAGGCTCTTCTTGAATAAGGAGCTATTATTATTATTATTGTCTTTTGACTTGCAGCTTGGCAGTGTTGCTATTATTGATTCAGCTGCAATCTCGCTGGCATTTTACTTTCTGAGTAGATGGCGTGAGCCTGTCTCTGTAGGTCTTCCTGCAGAATGCCCCATTAGAGCAATGCCTACAGTGAGCTCCTAATGCGCCATTTGCAAGCCAGGCAGACCGAAAGCAGGTTGCCGGCTCCCTGGTGTTTGTACTGCGTGGAAGTGAGCATGCTTTCACAATTTAGTAAGAGGCTTGGGTAACTGGTACACCACTCAGGGTTTTGAACTTGGTACGATCACCTGAGCAGGTCAAGATCCTATTGCAGTCTCATTTGCAAATACAGAGCCTCAGCCTCAGTGCTCCTCACTACCAGGCTTTCTTCTCCTGATCCTTCTTTGAGGATTATTTTTCAAATAATCCTTACGCTGCCTTAAAGGAACCTCATCTTTTTGATACACTTTGCTTCTGCATATTACAGTGCTCTCATTTGGAAATGGAGGAATTTTAAACGTATGTCACAAAACTTCTGAATCCTCTTGCGTACTTTCTAGTTACCCTGGGAAGATTTTTGTGCAGGTTAAAGGGACTGCATGGTTTCTTCAGAATCAGAACCTGCTTTGTGCTGAATTCAGAAGGTTTTGGCTGGGGATGATCTCTTCAGGAATCCGAAGTGGGGACTGAAACAAATGACTATACTTCTCATATGTCAAATTTGCCCAAATATATCCCTCTCATCATCCAAACTCAAATAAACCCCAATTAAAGCAAATAAAAAACCTAAACAGGTTGTAAAGGCATCATAGTCTGCATGTCCAAAGCTCTTCCAAGTTGACTGCAGCATGGGGTTTCCATATTTTTAAAAATATCTGCATTATGTTTGAGACTGTAATGATGGTGATGTATTTATTCCAACTAAATTTGTTCCAGCTTCATTCGTAAAATAGCAAGGATTATTTATTAAATGCCTTCACTGGGCCAGACAAGACATAGAGCTTAGGACTTTACAGGAGCTAATCTTTAAAGTTAATACTACAATTATGCCCATTTTAAAGGCAAGATAAGTGAGGCCTGGAGCACAAGTTCACACAGTGAGTGGCTGAGAAGGGATTCAAACCCAGGTCTGACAGTCTTAAAACCCCTGCCATGCCCACTATTTCTTGCTCTTTCTCAGATTAGGGTTTAGGCAGTTCCACTTCATTATAAAACTGAAGCTCATATCTCACAATTAACTTAGGTGGAGACCAACCAATTTTCCCTTTATCATACTGGAAATTCACGGCTTTGGCAGACCTCATGATCTTGGAGCAAAAAATACAAGGAGATAGTTTGTAAATGTAAAAGCGTGTTTCTTTTCTTCTTTTTACAGATACAATGAGAAAAAGAAGCTTAATGGAATTTAGTATAAGTTCAGATTATTTAAAAATGTATCTTTCCGTGTTAACGTGCATACCCCGGATATGTAAAATGTGTCAGTTTCCCTTAATTAATGGAGGGGAGAGGGAATAAGTTTGTCAAATTAATTCGTCTTCTTTTCTACATCCCAAAGATCTCTATCTATAGCCCCTCAAACAAAATATCTTCAGAGAAAGAACCCCTGGTGATTTTAGGGGAGTATTTCTGTCCACCAGTGGCAGTCAGTCAGTCCCTGCTCCCTCCTCCTGGTGCCCAGGAAGCGCCCCCGCGCCCTGTGCTTAGTTTTCACTTGAGTCCTTCCTCATGGCCATTTAGCAAACAGTGTGTAATTTAGGGCAATTACTTCGCTGGTCTCTCTTATCCTCCAGCTTCGCCCTCCTCCAAATTCCCACTGTGCCCACCCTCCTTCCCCATTTACTTTTTCCAGATATAGCAATAGACAAAACCGGAAAGCCAGCCAAGCCCACTTGGCCTGGAGGCCACACCAGGTTGCCATAACCAGGAGAGCAAGGCCTCCCGACAGGACCAAAGGAAGCACTCAGCACCAAGAGAATGGGTGCTGACAGGTGAATCGGACCCAAGAGGCGCGTGACCCGGGGCTGCGAGTCTCCCTTCGGTGATCACAGACACTACAGCCCACAGCCGAGCAGCAAGTGAAAAAGCAGTAAAGAGAACATCTTATCATTTGGGAGTTAAAAAAAAAGAACCTATTATACATTTTTGGGAGAAAATTATTAGCTAGAGGCTACCTTTAAAGACAACTATTTAGGGGCCAGCCCCATGGCCAAGTGGTTAAGTTTGCGCGCTCTGCTTCAGGGCCCAGGTTTTCACTGGTTTGGATCCTGGGCTCAGACCTAACACCACTCATCAGACCATGCTGAGGTGACGTCCCACATAGCACAACCAGAAGGACCTACAGCCAAAACAGACAACTATCTACTGGGGGGCTTTGGGGAGAAGAAAGAAAAAAAGAGGAAGATTGGCAACAGATGTAGCTCAGGGCCAATCTTTAAAAAAAACAACCAAACAATTGTTTATGAATTTTATGATTGTTTAAAGTAGTTAACATCTGTGACATTCCTAATAGAAAAAAAGAAACTAAAGGTTTAGAGGATTGACTATCAATCTTATAAAAACATTATTACAGACATGTACGAATTGTAACCATTTATTCAAGCTACCTTACCCAAATATAAGTTCCTAACATTTTATACTGAATAATCATCACATTTAATAATGGTAATGTTTGATGTGTACAGCTTTGTACTATTTTCAAAGCCCGTTTCCATAAACCAATATTTGTTAAATGCTTCGGAAGGTACGATGCGCTGGGCACGTCCTTTGTGATTTCCATGGGTTATTCCACTGGATCCCTTACAACTCTGTCAGTGAGACAGCATCATCTCCACTTCACAGACGGCAAAACTGAGGTTCAGGTGACTTCCTCAATATCACAAAATCAGTCACTGGCAGGCCTTGGGCTCCCTTCTGCTGTTCTGTTCCTGCACACTCAGTACTATGAGCCTTATCACCAAGTCTCACTGAATGAGCTTAGAGCATTTTAAATAACACTTATCAATAACATCTACAATCTTCTCCTTGTCATAAAAAACCAAGGTGTGGCAGTATCTTTTCATATATACTGCATACTTTCCAAGCTCCCACCAGGGGCTTGCCAAGCCTTGACGCTGGATGGACTACCTGACTATCTTGTTGATGGTCCTATCTTGCATGTGACATTATTGAGTATGGTCCATTCACCCAGGTATTGTTGGAACAGTGAACTGATTGTAGAGTAATGTGTCTTCTCTCTGCCAAAGTAGATGTGTCCCCAGATGAGGTTGAAGCCCAGGGCTTCGATGTGAAAGCCCAGAGGACAGGCAGGTTCATCTTGCCTTTGGGCAATGGGGAAGCTTGCTGGAGCGAGTGGGCTTTGAACTGGGGTTTGAAGAATAGAAAATGGACAGTTGTAAGTAAGAAAGCACATCCCTGACCTTTACAGGTCAAGACCTATAGTTAAACAAATCAACTATCAGATATTTGACTTAAATATTTCACTTGTGCCAAGCCAGCTCTTTTAGGTATTTATTTTCATCCATAATATACAGATGCTTGTCAAAAAGTAAAGCAAAAACAACCAAAAGAACTTTGCGGGCTTTACTTTTGTGGTTGATTGTTATTACCCAAATAATTCCAACTCTGCATTGCTACTTGAAATGAATGTTATAGAAACATACAGTTTAACTACATGCTTACTATATGGTTATCTCTAATGTACAGAATATTGTAGAAAGATAAAAATAAGTAGATTTTACTGCACATTAAATATCATTTGTGGGTGATTCAGGCAAGATGTTCTCCAGAGTCCTATCTACTGAGTCCTATTCTGTCCTCACTGACATCTTTACAATCCCTGTCTCTAGTAAAGAACATTAGCTACACCCACACAACCACACAACCACACACACACAAATGCACATATATGTCAGTTGCTCTCCCACTTCCTTAAAATAATTCCCTCCATTTTTGTATTGTGTACATTTTAACATTTCTCATTTAAAGTCAGCTTCTTTAAGATGAGACTATTGAAATGAATGGCTTATATTTTCTACACCTCTTTATAAAGCACCATATAGTCTAATCTGGTTCAAAATTGAGGCATGGGAAACAAATGCTGATACAATGACCATCAATCTGGCCCACCAATCAGGTCCATTAATCTGAGAACCACAAACTGCCCCACCACTGTTCCTGCTTTGCTGGTCTTTAACCTTCCACAGCTCTTATAATTTCACACCATTGACCTTTTATCTTGCCCCTGGGATCCAAACTTCAAATTGCTACCAGAGTTGCCTTCCCCTGAATTATGTTATAATCGTTCCTCCAAACCTCCTTAGTTCCCCATCATTTGTGAAATAAAGGCTGTCTCTGTTTTTTGCATGGAGAGAGTCCTCAAAGTGCCTAACACACTGCACTTCTCCCCGCCCCCCAACATGCCCCCAACCCTCTGCCAAACACATCCTTTGTGCCAACCAGGCAAAGCTTCACTCTTAGCCAGGAATGTTCTTCCTTACCTTGTTCTGAGCAGATGTTTTTCTTTACTCTGTTCTGAATAGAATAATCCTACTCTTTCATAAATAAGATAAAAAAAATCACTAACCAAGCAGAGTTTATTAAAATGAGAATTTCCTTGTCTAATTCTCTCACAACACACGCTGCTCTTCAATATCCTCTTTACCTTCCTTTCCCACCTCCCAAGAGCTCCCACCACAATCGCTTCCTACTACATGGTATCACAGTGCAGCTTCTCAAGTGTCATTGATCTTTCTGTTGTACCCTGGCTTGTGTTATAGTGAGCTGTTTACTTCTCTCTCTCCCCAAATAAACTGTAAGCTCCTTGAAGACAGGAATAATGTCTTATTCACTTTTCCATAGCCAGAGCTGCATTTCAACTCTGTATTTTGGCTTTAAAGACTGAGAATTAGATGCTTTTGAACTAAAAAATACAAAAGTCTTAATTTAACAACTGGAAAACTACATCTAGATAAACAGCACAGTACCTACAAAGCAAACATCCGATACATGTTTGTTGCTTGGAATGTTGGCTGAATTACACACTTATAGAAGGAATTGTTGAGAAAGAACATTCTTTATTCTTTCCTAGGTCAGCTATAGCACAGGCTGGGAAGACCAAATAAAGCTATTGATTAAGGTCTCTTTGTTTCTTTAATATTTCTTCATTGCTAACTAGAAACCCGTGAAAAAGAGTTTCTTGCCTTCAAGAAACTGACATTGCTTTTGCATAGACAGTTTCATTAATCTTTGAATAAATACATATCACTGAGTCAAGTTCTCACTGAAAAACTGGGAAATTCATGCTCTGGTGGCCCAATTCTTTGAACTTCCAGAAGACTGTATAGCCCAGTATATCCACTTAAATCCTCTAAATGTCACTGCAGACAATAACAAATAATAAGTTACATTTATGAGTACTTTACCACTTATAAGGTGTTTTCACCTGTAGTATTTTTTAATTCTCACAGAAAACTTGTGAGGTAGGTTTTAACCTCATTTTCAGGTAAAGAAGCTCATGAGTTTAAATGCCTTGCCAAAGGTCATGCAGCTAGGATGCAGCAGAATTAAGTCTGGAAGCTGAGTCTTTTGACTCCAAATCCAGTGCTCCCCATAGCATCACGTAGAAATAGACCAAGGACCGAGCCCCTGCACACTTAGGAAAAGAAAACCGGGATCTGCACAACCACACAGGTTGAAAATACAATGAGATTCTTGAGATAACGGTACCTCACCTTGTAGAGGTTTTGGGGATGAGAGTAGCATTGAGCAATTGAGCAATGGAGTGGATCACGCATGTGGGGAGAAGCGCCACATCAGGAAAGCAATACAGAAGCATCCAAGAGGCCAATACAGATCCGGCATCTCCAAGAAGGTGATTAGGAACAAAACCCCAAACAATGAACTTATCCTAAAATGTGCTGGACCCGAAGGAAAGTGGGGAACACTATCCAATCCCAAGGAAGATTATGACTGGACCAAAGAATGCTCTCAGTATTCCCAGCAGTTTGCACAGTGCCTGGCATTGGCAGGATCAGAGGCACCCGATATGTGTAGGATTAAACTAATGTAATTGAAATGAGTACAGGGATGCTGTGCATGGGCAGGCCTAAATGTTTTAGTCATTTCAGCCCAGGAAGGCCAAAACAGAGAGGCACATGAATAAAATCTATAAACCACAGGTAGCACAATTAACGTAAACATGTTCACAAAATCTTGAAAATAATAGAACAAGAAGGAACCTTTTAGAAGTTGAGTAAGATGAATACAGACACTGTAAGAAGTGCTCTCCTCATCACTTCAGGTATTACTAATGCAAATGTAAGCAAAATGTTTCCAATGTTGACCCAACTGGTGAATTACAGGACTAAATGGTTCCTATCAGAAATTGGGCTAATTCAAAGCTTTCTGATGATGTGTTCACTACTTCATACAGCAAATATTTATTGAATGTGTACTATGTGTCAGACCTGTACAACATGCCAGTAATGCCACAGTGAACAAAAATTACAATTCTTAGTCTCTTGGAGCTTGTGGTCTGGTTGACATGCATGAGGATGATGGGCTCATTGATACGTCCTTTGGACTCTGGATAGACCTTGGGTTTCATCTTCAATTGCAGGTTCTGTATATCTTGCTCTTCTCTCTGCTGCTAATTTGGAGCAAAAAAAGCAGGGAGCTGTTGATGTTGAATGGGGGGATTCAGCACTAAACAAGCAATTAGCAACTATTGACAGCAGCAGAGAAAAAGACGACAATGACCTGAGACCCCTCTAAGAGTCAGGGGTGGAACTTCACATTAAATGTAGTTAACCACTCTGTCTTTTTCAAGCTCTCTAATACAATCTGAATTCCAAATAGCTTTCTGAAGCAGGTACTATGGTGGGAAATGTGGTACAACAATTAATAGAACATCTTTACTGCACATGTATTATATACTAAGCACTGTGTTAAGTACCTTATCTTCATTAAGGCAATTAATCCTCAAAACAACTCAACAAGATCTCCTTTATTATTATCACAGTCTTGAAGATGAGGAAACTGAAGCTCTGGGTGGCCCTTTAATACAAGGTTAACCTTACCCAAAGTACGGTAGGTAAGAAAATGCTGAAGTCAGGATTTAAAACTAGTTTTGTCTGATTCCAGAGTCCATCTTAATTAGATGCAACATTGTCTCTAAGTCCCTGCCTTCAGTGATCTTAGTCCTCTAGGACAGAAAGATAATTTAAAGTGCCATTTTCAGATTAGTGATAAATGCTGCAAGAAAAGCAGGCATTGGGTTACTATGGAAACATGCGGGAAATTATTAAATCCAGCTTTATGAGCTTCCACTCATAAGGAGTAGAAGGAAAGACAATCCAGGAAGAGGAAACAGTATGTGCAAAGATCCAGAGGCAGGTCTGGGGAACTGCAAATATCAAAGCCATGATAATCAGTAGCCATCCAGCCACCATGTGACACAGGCTACAAAATGCTTTAAATAAATGACCTCACCTCTAATGGGATACAGCATGAGGACACATGAGGACTCTGGTCATGCTTGCAAAATCTGATACAAGTTTGTTGGGAAACTCTACACCCTACACTGAATCACTGCATAGAAGTCTGGAGTCCTGGTCACCAACAGCAGTGCAGCCTGGGAGGGGAGCATGCTGACACATGGCCAATGCAGGCTCAGCTGTGGTCATTCTTCTATGTGTGACTGCCTGACAGGTGGTGACTGGCTGTCCCTTCTTTGTCACCAGATGCTGCTGGAATTCTCAGACTTTGGGTCTGCATCAAAGCATACATTTGAATGAAGGGGAAGAGACGAACTAATCAAAAAGAGCCAGTTCCACCCTGGCAGGCCAAAGCATGCAAAATACAGAGTGGGGAAGGCAAAGCCATTGAACTTGAGGTAAAACCATGAAGGAAACGAAGTCAAGTCTACGTTCTACCAGAAGTGTCGGACTTGTGGCATCTTCCCTGAGGCCATTATTTCAGACCCGCATTAGTTTTAAAGTAACGTGTCAGCATAGCTTTATGCATTCATTACTCCATCTTACAGGGAGAAATAAAAAGGCTTCAGAAACACAGAGACCTGGATTCAAGCCTTGGCCCTAGGACTTACTAGCTGTGTGGCCTTGGGCAAGTTGCTTATCCTTATCTTTAGAATAAGGATAATAATGCAGACTCTGAATGACAGACGTGGGGATTAAAGATGTAATATATGTAAAGCACCCAGTCTGGCCCTCGGTAGGCATTCAACAAATGGTAATTATTATTATGATTATATTGACATTTAAAGGAGAGCTTTTCAGTGACTTAACTCAAATTTTGAGTAATGGTGGGAGTTTGGGGCTGCTGGAGGTAGATATTTTTTGTGAGTATTGATTATTTTATGAATCAAACAATAGTTTAAATTCACTAAGGATTCTTGCCATTTAAAGGGATCCTATAGTTAAAAAACTTTTTTCTGAGATCAGAAATTTGTACCCATTGTCTGATTGGTATCAGTAAATTTACGGGAATGAGAGAAAAGAATATTGAACTTGGGACTCCCAGGAAAAATTCAGTCCCTAATTCTTTCAGGAAAAGAGATTCTGGTAAGTAATGATCTTTCTGTAACACCTTCAAGCTGTATCGCTCCTGATTAACGAAGTACCCTAGTACTCGAGTGTGAAAAACCAAGCTCACTAACTGGTAAGAAAGAGGGCATGTCTTACTCTCCTAAAATTGAAGAGACTCGAAATTCATTTTTTATTTATTCAGTTATATGTCCGTGCTGAAGCAGAGCATTCAAGAGAGATACAAATGTGGAAAGACCTCTGGGCTAAGAATCAGAAGACTTGAGTTTTAATTCTGACTCTGTACCAGCTAGTTATAAGAACCTGGGCACGGAAAAATAAAACAGCAAGTTATCACCTTCTCATTGGGATGGAGCAGAGGGAGTCACCAGGGCGTTTATCACTTAGAAATGAAGTGTGATGAACCTTATTCCCCCAGCATCTGCATTCACTTATGGCTCTGGAGTTTGGTACTCTGAAAGATTAATTAAAGCTTTTAGGCTTATCCATAAACCTCAATTATTTGGCACTCCCTTTACTTATATGTTTAAAAAAAGCTATAGAGCTTTAGTTCTCAAACGTTAAGTGCAATATTAATTAAACGATTCCCTTTTGGTAAATACATTTTAAGTTAGAACAAATATTATGGGGGGTTGCTATCTTAGCATTCTAAATTTAGAACCCTAGGATACTATAGGAGGATTTAACAGCTGCCAAGGGTATACCTTTCAATCTGTCTTAAAAGAATCTTGCTCAATTATAGAATTCTGAAAACAAAAGCATATTTTACACAAAAATTTTTATAAGGGTCATATAAGTATTTCATTAGTTAAATGAGTTTAAGGGTTTCATTTGAGGAAACATAAATCACTTACCTTATTTTAAACCCTCCATGTTTCCCCTAATGGTGTTTACTAAGTCTGAAAGGCATTTATTTAACATAAGCAGAGTAACTTGTACATTGATTAAGCTGTCTATCTCTTTAGGTGGATCATGGAATTGCAATTTAGCATATAGAGTCGAAGAGAGCATCAATTAAAGGTATAGCTAGGATGAGTCAGGTGCTCATCAGAGGAGATGGGATAAAAGATCTTTTAAAAAATGTAAACCCCCAAGTCTGCAAAACCTAAATGTAATAATATAATGAAAGCACAAAATCAAACCAATTGAGATAAAAATGAAGCACTTACCTAGTATGATCACCTGAAAAGTGTGGCAAATTCCTGCAAATTGCAGGGGTTCACGTTGCAAAGTACTCAGCAATACTTCTGTGTAGTTCTATAGAAAGCCCAGAAAATGCTGCAATATCTTGCAAAGTGCTCCACAGGTATCCAATACTTTTGAACTGATCTCATTCTACCTTCCTCAGTGGGTCCAAATCATGTAACCACTGTTCTTCAAGTGATGAAAAGGTAAACCCTAGAGAAATGGAGGATTGGTTTTCAGTTTTGAGGATGGGCTAGAGATCAAAAATCTACTACTCAGAGGTCCCCTGCATACCAAAAAAATACAAATAAAAAAATGTCCTTTTGATTATGTTTTAAAAGTATTTGCTTCTAAAAAGGACAGAATCCCCCAACCTCCCAACTCATATTTTAATAACCCAACAATGGAAGAGAAATATTTGACAGAGGGTGAATTGGATGTTGATGATCTCCAACTGCTTCCAAATCTGCATAAATAAAACTCCAAGAAATCCCTACACAATGAACCCACTGAATGGGGCTCTATTTATCTGCCGCTGAAGGATAAAGGGCCAAGCCAATCCTATTGACAGTTAAGTCTGTAGCTTCCAACATATCACTGAGGTCACTCACCCACCACTTCAGGACAGGCTGACATCAACAGCTGATGTGCTGAACAAAAATTAGGGCTCAAATCAATTCACTGCTGAAACCCAATTTAAGGAGCACTCAGTTTGCACAGTTTTGGTTGATCAAATTCAGAGACGGGATTCGATTCATATTTCAGTAACGAAGATCTGGGAACTGATATATTGAGAGATGTATTTTTCCATTTCTCCTCTGCATAAAATATTCATGGATGCCATGTTCTACAGTGTACTCTGACAGTGTAACAGCTGCCAAAAACCTGGTACCTGAGGCCACTTTTACATCAATAAATTATCGAAGCTTACATCTGTAGCAAGATAGCTTTATTTGGCCACGCAAATAATACCAAGGTACGTAACACAGTTATCCCAGCTTTTGTTCCCTTGAGGGTGGACTATTGTTACACTCCATGCTGCAAAGCATGCTGGGAAGCTCCGACCAAGATGTAAGGAGGAAAAATACTGCCTTTGTGCTTTAATAGAGGCAGTGTGATGTTGAGGAAAGGTCATAATTTGGAGTCAAACATCAGGAGCTATGTGAAAGTGACCAGATTATTTCCCCTCTCTGAAACACAGTTTGTCCATCATTAAAATTGGGATGTTCCTCTACCTCCCTGCAGGGTCATTGAGATCAATAAATTCGCAGTGTCGCTAAATGGTCTGCCACATGATGGACAGTCAGCTAATGTTATTCAGGGTCCTATCTTCTAAGAAGGTATCACATAGTCCTGAAACACCAAAGTATTGCATCTATCAACAGTCCTGGAGAGCTTCTCTCTCACTTTAGGAACATTGGCTGAGAGTAGAAATTAAATTTTTTGGAGTTTTGAAGAAGTTGATTTCACAAATGGAAGATTTATTCCTTTGCCATTCTCTCTCTCTTTCTCCTATCATCTTGTTGAACCCTGGATACCTCCTTCCTCCTAGAGGAATGTCCTGAATATATGTGGCACCTCCCCAATAAAACCACTAATCATTCAGCCCGACATTGGTGTTAAAAACTTTGTGTTTTAAAAGCACTTTTATATATATATATATATTATATATATTTTTTCCAGTTTATATATATATATAAGAACAAGTGGATGACCTCACACAAAAGGCCACAGAAGGATCTGACATACACCAAGGCATTCGTGCCTGGCTTTGAGGCTCGAGGCCTGTTGAACAGTCATCCTGCTGGATCGTGCTGAGGTTAAGCATTAGCAGCATTCCAGGCTGCAGGAGGAACTTTAAAACCAAGGTTCCAATCGCTCCAAACTGAGGCAGAATCTCCTGGACTCCTTCAAAACACATGCCTGTGAGACTACTTTCAAGGAACACCTTGCAAACTGGATTCATTATTTTGGGTCTTCTAGGTACTTTTTTATCAATTAAAAAAACCCAGCAATAGCTAAATTCACTGGTTCTGTTGTTTGCCATATACGATTCTCTTTACAGACATTATATGTAAATCTTAGAAATCAGACATTTTTAAACTCAGTTTATAGATGTTGAAGTTGAGGCTCAGAGAGGATAAGAGATTTGCCCATGTCTACAAGTCTAAGGAATATGAATCTAGTTGTGTGTGGCTTCAAAGTCAGCCCCTTCCACTACACCACACTGCCTCGTTGTATCAATTAGTATGTTGATACTGAAGCAAAGTAAGTCAAGGGATCCTCAACCTTACTACCTTACCCACTAATCCCCTTGGTTGAGCACATTGCCATGACCTACCCAGTAGCGTAAGGAAGAGGAAGCAACAAAGGAGTTTGACCCGGTTGCCAATTCTCCTCTTTTCAAGGAGGGCCCTACTGCAGGAATATAGGCTCCTGCGTGATGTACAGTGATACCTGACCACCACAGGGTGATCCCAAATCTGAGTTTGGCTCACAAAGCACTCCTGGCTCCTTTCTTTGCCTGGCAGAAGTGGTGCCATTCAGGGACGTGGTTTACAGTGTCTCAGAAATCACTTAAGCCCTGAGGAATCAAGAGTGAAGGGACTAAAACGACCATTTTTCAGGAGCCGAGTGTTTTGTTTGTCTAGAAGATAGCATCTTGGAAAGCTCAAGGCCCCATGCCCATCATCTGCAGGGGGTGCACCATGAGTTCTGTCCTTCTACAGAGAGAGGCCAAGTTCTGACACACTTGATTTTCTGAATACAGCACCGTGGTTTCCATCATGCCTCCCACTCAGTTACCACCTAGGTCAAATGCCTGAACCTCAGGAGTTTGGAAAACACACTCCAAGGCGGTATGGTCCCCAGCTAACAAAGGCAGTCTCCACAGTGGCACATCTCCTCTTCCACTGCCAACTTGTCCAGGATTTGACTTAAGTGGAGATGGCTGTTCATTGGCTGGGTTCATTAGAGAAAAACATTTCAACAGTTCCATTTAACAACCTGGAATGTCCTTTGGAGAAGGCCAAATTAATGTGATTTTTACCTTAAGAAGCTTAGAAACATAGCTACCCGTAACTCAATAATTACATTGTACTGCCAGCAACAATTCAATATTTTTTTCTCGCCTGAGGGTTACAACACATTTGCACCATGGGGAAGCTTTTTCTCTTTACGTCTCAAAACTGCACCACAAACTCTTCCTTTATTCATAACAGCGAGATCTCCAGCTGAGATAGGCACTTTTGTATTGCTCTAGATGACAGTTTTCTGTGTTCTTTCCAAGCACAGGGGGTTTAATAAACATATCTGGCAGGCCTTCCATAGCTGGAGGGCCCAGGATGACACTGTGTGCAAACAATATGCTCGCGCTGGAGGGAAACAAGTTTATTCAATTATTCAATTAATAGATTACAGTCAAGATACTTGTTATCCTACAATGAAAAATGGGGCAAGAACTCCAAGAATTAGGGTAGGTCTCAGGATTAGTAACAGCAGGCAATATGGCATATACAGATCATGAGAATGTGGCCAAATGCATGAAAACATACCCACCAACCATCCAAACACACACACACACACACATACAACCGTTCAATCCCACACACATGCAAAGATGTACTCACATTTGTGACTGTAGTTAGAAAGAGGGACTCAGACGCCCGGAATCAAATATTATAAGGGCCTTAAAAGCTCCTTAAATACTTTAGTATATTTTAGTTCTGAGTTAGGAGATGGTCGGGAGGAGGAGGCTGATATCAGAAAGAGCAGCTCTATATTCTGTACTCATAGAATTCTACGAGAATTCTGGAAAAAGATGCTCATAAAGTTTTCTCTATGAAAAAATGAAAGCATTTTTGCAGTTTCATGAGTAGCTGCCTTTCTGCTCCAGTGCAAGACCTTTCTTCAGTGCAGAACATCTTAGAATGTTCTCTGTGCCATAACTTTTCCCTCGAAGCAATTCTTGGTTTCAGAGTCAAGTTTATCTGGTTTTTGTAGTTATGTTAAGATCTCCTTAACAAGAAATGAACCACTGCACTTAAACTTGTGACCCAGGAGCAGAGAGGATACTCTTCTTTCTGTGAGGTGTTGGTACGTTACGTTGATCCAAAATCACTCAGAGGAGAATGGAAGGGATAAATCTGGAAAGGTACCTTGGGGGGAAACTGGGAAGGATACTGTGTGCTTCATGAGGAAATTGTGATTTTATGCTATGGGGAATGGGGAGCTATTAAAAATTTTTGTGTTAAAACATCATTTTCCTTGTCCTACTCCAGTTGTACTGTTTTAAAGTCCTGGCTTTTATTTAGAATTTGTGGAATTAAAGACCTGGGGGACAGCTCAAATGTGCTAGAAGTACTGTCTATAAAATGGCAATGTGGTTAGCATTCCAGGAAACACAGGAGTAGCTATTTGCAGTACGGATCAGTAGGGGAGCGTTTCTGTAAGTGCGCCAGTATGGAGCTGTTATTTTGAAAGTGTCCTTATCTATGAGGATATACACCCCTCAGTTACGCTGCAAATCTGGGCTCAAGGTAACTGAAAGGATATTTTTCACTATACTATGGTCCTGAGGAGACCATCTCCATTTTACTGAGTGGAAAATGAAGCCAATGAAAATGTTGAAAGTTTTCCAAAAGTGACTAAGGAATAAGACAGGAAATACATTTCTAGATAGTGAAATCTTTTGATTCTTTCAGAAAAGATTGGGAAAAGCCCCTGTGCATCTTTAGTTCTCCCCTCTGTGAGCTTTAGCCAGGTGGGAGAGTAGACAAACAATTCCTCCAGTGAGCAAATGGGCATAGGAAGTTAAGCAGATGGCTTATTTCAGCTGCTAAGGAAGCTAGCCAAGGCAAGAGCCCGAAGTTGAAAATAAATCCCCCCATTCTCGAGGGCAGAATTGTTCCTAAGTTCATGGTTCTCTCTCAACAAATGAATCAAGATGGCTTTTTATGTGTCTGTCAGTTGTGACCTTGCCCTGGCTCTCCCAGATGGACTCACTAATGAGCTCTACAGCAGGCTCAGCCAGTCCCCATCCCACTCCCTGTCCAGTCTCTGTGCCAAACCAGAACAGGACAAGCCTCGGCCTGTCCAGAAGGCTGGCTCTAATTAGAGGGTGAGGGCACCATGGCCAGAGCTGGAAGCAAATGCTGCAGATATCTTTTCCAAGAGTGGTAGACACTGCTTTAAACTAAGTGCATGTATGCAGG